TATTCGGTATTTTGATGATGTTTGCCACATTTTTTAATGGAATTGTCTGAAAATCCACACAAGGAGTACCTTGTGGGTACTTTATACCTCGGCAGAGAATTATCTATATAGGTCCACAATATCGTACAGCCCCCATATAACGGTACCCCCCGATATTCGGTATTTTGATGATTTTACCCACATTTTTCAACGGAATTGTCTGAAAATCCACACAAGGAGTTCCTTGTGGGTACTTTATACCTCGGCAGAGAATTGTCCATACAGGTCCACGAGATCGTATAGCCCCCATGTAACGGTACCCCCCGGTATTCGGCATTTTGATGATTTTAGCCATATTTTTCAATGGAATTGTCTGAAATTCCACAAAAGGAGTCCAAAATGGTGGAGGGTATTCAAAGTTCGGCCCGGCCGAACTTACTGGTTTTTTACTTGTTTTTACTAGAGTTGTTTCGGGGGCCAACAATTACATATCGTAATATATCTTTAAAACCATTTTTAAAAAAGTATTGATCAAATAGCCCACTTCTTTTTGGAACTCAGACAGTCCCTTAAGGACTTTCCAAACCTACATGGTGCCATCAGTTCACACCAAGAAAAACTTGAGCTTTTAAATCAGAGCACCATCGTTAAGTTTTGCTTTACGACCACATTGCCCTCGCCGAATTAACTTCAGCTGAACACCCTTCACTTTTTCTTTAAGAAAAAATCCAAACAAAAACCAACTACTGTTTATTTTTATTAATTCCCAGCTTCTATATAATTACAGAGAAATGTATCGATAAAACACAAATGCAAAAACAACAAATGAGAATAAGAAAAAAACTTTATTAAACAATTGAAATACTTTTTTAAATGCGTTACTTTGCAGACTATCGTCTCGATGTCCGTCAGTCGGTTTTTTTTTTTTTTTTCTCTTAATTAAGATTGTGGAGTTTTTTACACATTGCAACAAAGAAGAAAAGTACCAAAGTATGACTGGCTGGAAAGCGGGAGAGAAGCATAATTTCTTATGGCTTTTGTTAATTTTAAATTATATGAAAAGCAGAAAAAACAACAACAATAACAACAACAATGGCAGTAATGACGACGCAAACGTCAATAACACCAGCAGATGAAAAATGAGAAAAAATATTGTTACAGTATCCATCTATCCATCCAACCATCCGAATGACCATCGGCAAGCTGGGCGAGAGTGTGTGTGCTCGACATTGTCGTCTGTCCATCAGCTGAAACATTTCTGGGTCTCAGTTGCCGCTTGGTAATGGTCTCGTCTGGTGGTTGTTGGAAAATACATATTAATGCTCCATTCTTACCATGGCTGCCATAAAGCGTCACGGTGTGACCGTCCGTCCATCCAACCAGCCGGCCAGCCAGCCGACCGTTCGTTCATTCTTTTGTTTGCTGCCAGAGGGAGGCAGTGTTGAGGTCTTGCCTTGGTCGTCTGCCTTGATGATATGGCAGGTTTTGTTGCTCAGCTCGTATTTTTCTGTGTTAGTTTTCTTTTCTTTTACTGTATTGTTGTTTTTCTTGTTGCTGTTATTTTTGTATTTTGTTCCTTTTGCATTACTTTTTAATTTCCCTTTTGTAGTATTACTAAAAATATTTGTAGTGCTAACAAATGGGAATAACATTAATTTTTCTAGTGCAGCCATGCCCCATCCAAGGGAACACAAAAATTCCCCAGTGCAATTTGTAATCCCTAAAGTGCCGCTTCTTTTTTTCGTTTTTTTTGTTAGTGGCCAGGACATTTCATTTAACTTCGTTGTGACCCAAATTAGGGTTTGTTGATGGCAGTTTTTTTCAATTTTCTTGTTTTCGTTTGCTTTTTTTCAGACTCAACCAAAATAGTTACATTTTTTGAAAGGCTTTATTGTTTGGGAGGAAAAGTTTGTTTTTGGTTAGATTTTTTAACAAAAATACGTTTAAGAAGTGAAAAGGAGTTTTTCACATTTTAATGCAGGCATACGCAGAAAAGAAGCATCACATTTGCATATTTTGTATTTTCATAAAATGTCTATGTTTTGGTATAGCCCCCATATAATGGTACCTCCCAATATTCGGTATTTTTGTGATTTTAAATACATTATTCACCGAATTTTCAACTTTCAATTGCAATATTGTTACGGCTTATGACAAAAGTTGCCTATACAAGTCCACGTCGTCGTATACATACGTCTACATCCGGTATTTTTTTCTTCAAATGGTAAAGGGGATATAAAGTTCGACCCGGCCGAATTTACAGCTTTTTTACTTGTTTTTTTATATTTCTGACGGAAATTTGAATTATTACACCCTCTCCTATATGGCTACATATGGTATATATCGTTTGATACGACCCAAACTCGACTCATTGAAACATCGGCTTACCTAGGTCTCAAAGAACCAAATCCACAAAAGTTCAAAACTTTCACAGAAAATGATTTACATTGTAGAACAAAAAGAGATTATCCAATTTTGTGTAAATTTTGCAAATCTTAATTTTTGTAACAGAGGAGAGATATTCGATACTAAATAATTCAATAAGATCTTCATTGACAAAGTCTTTCCTGACAAAAGTATTGGAGTTTTTGAGAATACTTTTATTGTGATTTTTTTAATTATTTTTACAAAGTTTGCCAAACAAAATTATCAGATTTTGAATTACTGTATTTATAAGGCCTTCCCAGACTATTTTTTTATACCAAAAGTCGTGGATATTTAGAAGTATTATCATAAGGTATTGTAAAAACGAGGATTTTTAAAAAGATTTTTTTTCCAAAAATTGCAAAAATTTTCATATGGCCTTCCTTGATAAAAATAGACGATTTTTTTTGGAGAAGGAAGGGGTTAGTCTAAAACATTTTTTTAAGGTCGTCACTTGTAAAAATTCATTTTTCAGATAATTTTAATGAGGTCTTCGTGATTTTTTCACAATGAACTGCTTATTAAAACAAAAATTGCGAATTTGTTTGAGTTGTTATTTAATTTATTTTTTAAGAACTTCGTTTTTTAAGTTTCTTATAAAAAATTGTAGACTTGTTACTCAAACACTTGCTAGTCTAAAAATGGTGTATTAATTAAAGAGGTACATTTCAAGAACTGTTTTTAACTTCAATATTGATAAACTAAATTTTTCAGAAAAACGCTGTTGTTATAGAAGAAATATTAGCAAAAAAATCAACAATGGTCTCAGTCCAAAAATTTATTTCGAACCCTATTCGGATTAATCAAATTTAGTAATTTTGTGTCTAAGATGTTTTTTTTTTTTATTAAATAATAAGTAAAAAAGTTCGGCCGGGTCGAACTATAAATATCCTCCACCATTTAGTATAAATTTGGCAATTTTCAAAAAATAAAATCTGTTAAAAATTCAGTTAAAATCTTAACAATACCGAATGTAGCGGTATATTAGGGTCTATACGAAGACGTGGACATGCATTATCAAAAGCAATTACAATATTCAAATGCGAAACTTAAAAAAAATTGTTTACAATGTAGCTAAAATCATCAAAATACCCTATATTCGGTATTTTGATGTTTTTAGCTACATTGGTACCATTGAGGTTATAAAACGTTGGCCTGCACAGACAATTTTCTGCCATAGGCTGTAGTATACACTACGAACTTCAAATGCGAAATTTGAAACAATTCCGGTAAATATTGTCCCTAAAATCATCAAATACCGAATATCGGGGGATACTGTTGTATGGGGGTTATACGAAGACGTGAACAATTGTTTGCGCAAACAATTTTCTGTCATAAGCTGTAGTATTCATTACGAACTTCAAATACCAATTTTCAAATAATTCCGGCAAATAATGTCTCTAAAATCATCAAAATGCCCAATATGGGGAAGTATCGTTATATGGGGGTTATAGGAAGACGTGAACCTACGTGGCCCATTTTCTGTCTTAGGCTGTAGTATCCATTAAGAACTTCAAATACCAAATTTGAAACAATTTCGGTAAATAATGTCGCTAAAATCATTACAATACCGAATATCGGGAGGTACCGTTGTATGGGAGCTATACGAAGGCAAGGACCTACGTGGCCCATTTTCAATACCAAAAGTCCTGCAGACAAAATACACATTTGAGTAATTTTTTATCGACTTACTTCATTTTTTATCAACCTACTTCATTTCGTTCGGAGGCTAGAGTGATTTCCACAGACGGGCAGACGGACGGACATTGTTAAATCAACATAGAATTTTATGCTGATCAAGAATATACATGGGGGGTCTAAAATGTGTATTTCGGAATTCCAAATTTAGTATACCCTCCATACTATGCCCTCCACCATAGTATGGAGGGTATACTAAATTTGGAAAATGTTGAAAATCTTGGGAGGATCCTATTGAATTCTATCAAACTGCTTTGTGAAAAAGCCGTTGAATGCCACATTTAGCTTATCAGGTGTACCTCGTATAAAAAGTTCTGTATTTTTTTGTAAAAAATATTTAACGCCAAAAAAATGTCTAATGTTTATAGATATTGCAATAAAATATAACAATAATTGTTATATTGTTATTGCCAAAAATCCAGCCCCACCCCAGTATATATTTGTAAACACAACATTTATTGGTTGCTTTCACTTTTCTCATTTTCACTTCCCAAAAATGTCCCTCAGGTGGTTTCCCAAAGTGTTTTTACCCAAATTGATAAGACATGGAAAATTTATATTTTTAATAAAATTTGTTTTATTTTATTTTGCATTTATTTCTTTAAGTATTTTTTGTCTTTGTTTTGTTTGTTTGTTCGTTTTTTGTTTAAGTTACTAACTAAAATGTACAAAAATCATTTATATAAAATAAACTAAAAAATATGAAAACAATTACTAACATTAGTCGTATTTTTTTTTGTTTAATAAATACATTTACAGTTCTTTGAAATTTAAAAGTTAAACATTTAGTTGATATAAATAATACAAGTTAAACTTAAAAATTATCAATAAATGACTTCAGTGCTGGGGTTGTTTTATTTGTTTTATACATACAAGATTTTTTTTATACAAAAAAAAAAAAAAAAATAATAATAATAGAATGAATACAAATAAGGAAATTAAATTTTGTTTACGGCTGAATCTTAGAGAGATCGTTCCTTAAATGATGATGACGATGATGAAATATTTACAATGATTCCCTATTATTTTATTTTTGTTTTTTCTTTCTTCTTTCTTTTAATGATCCACACATACGAAAAATGTATGTGAGTGTGTGTATGTGTTAGCCTAATTCGTTTTAAACTAAATTAAAAAAAATATCCTAGAAAACTAAATGTCTTTGTTCGGTTTGTTTGTGTGTTTAAAAATAAAATGAAATTGGTTCTGTACATTTTTTGCAGGAGAGGGCGGGTGGGGGAGTCTTAAGTCCTTGTTAGCTTGTTCTACGATAGTCTGGCATCACAGTTGACCACTTTGAAATTTGAATTGTTTCGCCTCTAAGCCCAAATGCTTAAATTCTGGCGATGATACGTTAACGCTGCCGAGCTGGGATAATTCTCCGGAGTTCTTGCATAACCTGGTCCAGGTCGTTTCAAACTTCCCGAGTTATTGTCCCACAATCAGTGTTGATAACGCATGGTTTGGGCCTGATTGACATGACCGCCATTGGCCTGGCTGTGTTTGGAGCCATGGTTGAAGGAACGACGTCCGGTGGTGCTGACGCTCAACATTTGTGGAGGGTTGCGTAGGGGCAGTGCTGGTGGTACAGGTGGTGGTGTGGGGGTCTTGACTCTTTGGCTGTTGCCCTGTTCCAATGGCATGGAGTAATGGGTGTTGCTGTAAATGTAGTTGGGATCCATTTCCACAGTGCTGGCCGTTGAATTGGAATAGTCTTGGGAGGTACCATAGTGCATGGGCTGTTGATGATAGTTAATGTTCTGCTCCTGATTCGAGTTCGAGTGAATAATTGGCAAATCGGCATAGGAATAGCAGGAATCACCCACAGCTGCGGTTTGTTGGAACAAATGAGGTTTGGTGTAGTGGTTCAATTTTTGTATGGCAGCAGCATTGTTGGAGCTGTTCTTGATGTGGACCACAAAGGAATCGCTGTCATCATTGACGGTATTGCTTTGGGTTTTACCTGCTTTTTTGTCGCTCAAAATTGTACCAGTTGGCACCTGCAATTGTTGGAAATTCTTCTGTTCGGCACCATTCATTTGCACAGGGCACATGGGACCATAGTGGGCAGGTCCCATATTGTGAGGCGTATAGGTGTTGGGGAAAGTGGAATGGATACCCAAACTGCAGGGATGATGTTGATGGCGGGTCATGTAGTCTTCGTCACAGAAAGTCTTTTGATATTCACGTTCCTTGTTGCCCAAGGCCGAGTTGCCGAAGATACCACCCTTCAAGTAGTCACGGATCTTTCTGCGGCAACGATAGACAATCAAGACCAAGGTGGTAATGGTGGCAGCAGTTCCAACCAAAAGGGCACCAATCAAGGCCTGTTTACGGGGATCGGTGTGAGAGCAACCCATAAGGGCAGGATTCAGATTCTTCAACTCCTCACCTCTCAGACTTTCGGGGAATTCGCAGAGAACTTCACTGACATTATCACCGGTGTTATTCTTGTTAATCAAAACATTTCTCAGCCACATAACACGGCAGTCACAGGCAATGGGATTTTCCGACAAATCCAAGGTGGACAAATCTTGCCAAGGGAAAAGACCTTCAGCCAGGGTGGTCAAACCATTTGCCTTCAGATTGACATATTTCAAATGGGGCAAACCACTGAGGGCACCTTCTTGGATTTCATTCAACATTTTGTTGGAGGCCAAATTCAGGTATTCCAAATTCGTGTTGCTGCCAAAGGCACCGGTCATGACACGTTTCAAACGCAAAGCTCCAGTGATTTCCAAACGTTTTAATTGTTTCAAACCCACAAAGGCTCCCTCGAGAATGGCTTCGAAATCATTTTGACCCAAGAACAATTCTTCCAAGCGTCCCAATTGACTCAGGCTGTTTGTGGGCACACGAGCCAAACGATTGTCAGACAAGTCCAAAATACGCAGGGATTCCAAACCCAGGAAGGAATCATGGGAAATGTTACGCAAACCAGCACCTTTAAGGTTTAGGCGTGTCAAACCCTTTAAATCTTGGAAGGCTGCTGGAGGCACGGTCATCAAGGCATTGGTACCCAAAAACAATTCAGCCAACGATGGCATGGCCTGGAAATGTATGGGATCTGGCACTGAGGTCAAGGCATTGTCATCCAAATACAAAATTCTCAATTGATTCAAACCATCAAAAGCCTTGGGATCAATGTAGCCAATGCGATTCTCGCCCAAATTCAACTCCTCAATTTTGGCCAATGGTGCAAAGGTGCCCTGATGTAATTCTGAGATGAGATTGCCACGCAAATTCAAAACGGTAACGGCCGACAAACCAATCAAGGTCTTGTTGCTGATTTGGCCAATTTTGTTGTACTGCAAATGGACCTCTTGCAGTTTACGCTGATAGGCAAAGGTACGCTGGGGAATGTTCATCAAATGGTTGGAGGACAAATCCAAGAATGTCAATTCAGCATAGAATTGAATGGATGAGTCGATGGTCTTGATTTTGTTGTTCTTGATGACCAGGCGTTGAATGGAGGGATTCAAGGCAATTGGCAACACATCCAATTGTCCTTCACCGCACTGGACAATTAGGGTGTTGTCATCACATTGGCAGCCAGCTGGACAATTGGCCAAGCCAGAGGTTGTGGAGGCCACCATCAGCAATACCAGGCAGGTGAGCGTTAAAATAGTTTCCAAATTTTTAGATGCCATGGTGATGTTGTTGTTGTGTTTTTTGTTTTCACAAAAGTTTGATGAATTCGAAAATTGATGAAATCGGAATCGATGAAATAATGATTTTTTTATTGGCGGGATTCTTGGGTTAAAATTCCATATTCACTTCGGGGAAATGTTTCCAATTTTCTTTGAAAATTTTAATTTTCAACACTTCACTTAATTTTTGTTTTTTATAACAAGTTTTTTTATTCGAATTTTTTCTTGTATTCAATATTTTTAGTTTTGTGCCGTGAGCGATAATCCAAGTGCTCGCTTTGATCACGGTCTTAGTTTGTCTTTTCGTAAATTCGGTTTTGTGAGTTTTACGTGAAATTTGTAAAATTTCGTTTTATATATCTAAGTTATATTTTTCTCTGAGTTGACATTACACGTTTGTATCTTTACTTGTTTGCAAGCATACAACCGTACACGACGAAGCAACGAACTACACTGATTTTCTGTTGCAACTTAGTTTCTTACAATACCTCGGTTTGCCAGCCAACCTATAGAAAATCATAAGAGCGTAACTAATCCCAACAAAGAGCTAAAATACCCACAAATATGCTCGAATAAAACAAACAGAGAGAGTAAAACAATGAGAGCACCCAACAGGGGAGAGGAGTGACAAAGAGAGAATATAGAAAACCAATACCCATTGCGAGTAAAACAGGTTTTCTCTCAGCATTGCAAAGAAGCATAATTCAACTGCAAAGAGCATAAAAGAGAGAGGGAGTGTTTGGGAGTGAGAGTAAATGAAATGGTGTGAGAGAGAGAGGGAGAGTACTGCCAAGGCCCAAAGGAAACACCACACAAACTTCACTGTATACATGGTTTGTTAACGTATTTTCAACACAGCATTGTGGCCGTCTGTCTGTTTGATTTCTCACAGAGCTAATCCAAAAACGGCAGATGTTTTCTTTCTGTGAGCAATGTCTGGGAAAAATAGAGAATAAATAATAATGAGAGCTCGTTGAAATTCTCAGAGAATTGGTTTGCAGAACAATGGAGAGAGGGAAAGAGAGCTATACTTAGTTGTTTTGGTCACCAAAAGATGTCGCCTCTGGTATTAAAAATGCATTTTTCCTGTAGATATTTTCGAAAAAGAGGTTGTTTCAGTATTATTTCTTCATTGACATCAGAGAACCATGAAACTACCTGGAAAATATTTTTGGCCTCTGTTTAGATTTCTGTGCAGACCATCACATTCTCAATTGTCGCCTCTGACAGTTGAGTTGAAAGCAACGGAATGTTGTTACGGCCGCTTATTTTAGTGATTTTGAGTTGGAAAAGAAAAAATACGAAAAGTATAATTTTTACGTAAATTTTGAGATTAATTGCATGGAAAATAAATTGAAATGAAGTCAAATTTTTTAATAAAAAAATATGAAATGGAAATGAAAAAGGAAATGTTTTTATGAGTGGAAACTGAAACACTTATTTCAGTTCACGAAGGATTTAATGCGTGTGAAAAATTAAAATTAAACACATATGCAAGAATATTGGCTCTAATATTAAATATAAAATAAATTACAAAAATAAAACAAGACATGATAATCGGAAATTATTTTATGGATGGTGGATTTTTTTCCTCTGACATATTTAAATTATAAAAAAATAAACTCAAGTACTAGTGGAAGTTAAATATAGTCCAAACGCTCAATTCTTGTTCTATGAAAATGCGAAATGAAAATCTTTATGAATACAAGAAATGTGAAGTGAAACATTTTATAAAGAAAATATTGTTGCTCTATGAAAATGCAAAATTAAAATCTTTATGAAGATATGAAATGTCAAATGAAACATTTTATAATGAAAATATTTTTCATTTTTTGATAGAACAATGCCTGGACGGAATTTTTGTTCCATTAAAATTTTAAATGAAAAATATTTTCTTTATCATTTTTTTTTTTCATTTGACTTTGCTATATAGAAAGTTTTCATTTCACATTTTCATAGAAAAAGGATTGAGCTCTTGGTTTCGGCTTCTATGAAAATATGAAATAAATAATATTTTCTTTATAAAAGTTTTCATTCCACATTATCATAGAACAAAAATTGAGGCCCATGAATCCAGGGCGAGCATCTATCTTATTCATATTATAGACCATTCAGATTTTTTTGGTGGAATTAGTATTCTTGCTTGCCAATATGCCATTTCATTTCCTCTGAACGGAGATGCCAGTGGTTTTCTGAAAAATAAACAACAGAAACTATTATAAAATTTTAAATTTCCAAAAGATTGAAAATAGACTTTTTGTTAACTGTCGTAATTTAAGTTATTAACAAGTTAGGCACATCCCAGAACTTCAAGTTTCTGTCAATTATTCATATTTCATTTCAAAATGGTGAAAAATCTGAAAATATGCTCAAAATATTCGATCTGAAGATAAGACAATACTTATTACCCCATACAGTTGAATGAAGTTGAACATATTTTTGAAAAATACGGAATTAGAAAGATTTTACCAATTGAATTTGTGGAATAGTCCAAATTTTCAAAAAAGCATGTTTACTATAGATTACTCTTAGAAAGTATAACGAAACTGGCATAAGATGAGTTACTGTGCTTTTCACAAAACCATGGAAGTGTTGTTAGTATTAAATTCAGGACTCAATTATGGATTCGTTGAAATTTGTGCATATTATATGGAAAGAAACACCTGCAATGACCTTTTTCTGGATATATCATACACATATTTAAAACAAAAAAAAACAAAATGCCTTTACTATTCTGAGAAAAATTCAGCGCCAAACTCTAGCTCTCCCAGCCCCAAAATCTAGCTCCATCCAAAATTCCGTGTCGATTGGTTCATAATTGTGGCCTGTAGAACAACTGCAAAATCAGGAAATTTTTCTGTTTTTGGTCCAACCTTCATTTTCAATTTCGTGAAGATCCGGTTACAAATTAACATGGACAGAGAGACAGACGGACGGAAGGACATACATAACTAGACCGACTCAGCTCGGCAAGATAGGAAGATCCATATATGGTTGCCTATGTCGGTGACCAATATTTCGAGGTGTTACATAATGTTTGGCCCGACCAAACCTATAATAGCCACAGCACATAGTGTTGTGGGGTATAAAAAACAAGGAAGGAAATTTTTGAACAAATATTTAAGGGAATCCGAAAACTAATAAAAATTCGAACTAATTTCAAGGAATGCTGATACCATTCGTAATTCGACCAAATGTAGCGCAGATGTCTCAATCTTGCGGAGAGTGTAACAGCATAGATTTATGTATATTTTTTCACAGTTTTTTTCGTTGATCAAACCTAATCGAAGCAGAAACAAAATTCATTTTTATAAAAAAAAATGTATGATGAAAATATTTCTCAAATTATATTTGCATAGAACGAGAATCTACGAATGTTATTTAGATTTTTTCCAAACTTGCGAGCACAAATAAAATTATTTTTATTTGTATAATTTGAAAAAAGAAATGCTTAATTTCAAAAGTACGTTTTTTTGCAATGCAAGCCTATCAACATTCAATTACTTAAAATTTCTAGTTTTCTAATTAAAATGTTTCTGATGATATTGTTTTGAAATTCTCATGAGAAATATTGTAAACAAATTGAAAATTGCTTTAAAATGTTTGAAGATTTAAATGGATATTATTTTCAAGTAAAGGTTGTTTCAGCAGTTATCAGCCATTTTTTTTATTTGTTTTGAATGATAACGACATTTGATAATTGTCTTGTAACTAAGACACTATTCGTATTTGAGAAAGGATAACAAACATAGTGTTCTACAAAAAAAATAAATAAATAAATATTTATTTATTTAGAGGAAGCATGTTGTTGATGCTACCCATAATTGGACTACCTGTCTGCAATAATTTTGAAGGTCTAGCAACAAATTATGATAGAAAGAAAGAAGAAATTATGTCTGAGGAAAATTTGATAAAGAAAATACTTAAACATGAAATATAAATAAAGAGAAAATGAAATAAAATATGAGCGCAGAATATGAGATTTACTGCTAAAGCGTCTGTTCAATCTTGACATTGTGCATATGAAATATTTATGCATTTTATAACAAAATAAGACAATTTAAAATAATATATTTTGTAGACTGTTTGTACATGAATATGATTTTTTTAGCAAACGATGTAGTTTGACTTCAATATTTAGAAAAAGAACAACAGATGAAGACGGATTTCAACTCTCAGAGAACTTCATCTGACAATTAAGCCAAAATTGGCTTTAAAATTTGGAATTTGGGGTAATAAAGTTTTATTGATGATTTTTTGTCTCGAAATACGATTTGAATTTTATAAACCAAACATTTGTATTTCGTGTGACATTCGTAATGTAACATTTACATAAAGAAATCTGAAACTTTTTCTAAAGACATCTAATATTAGAAATGGTGTATATATACCCTACGCCACACCAATGTACAAGCTATTATGTCTTTGTGCATTTCTTTGTTACATATAGAAGGAGACGGAATAAACCAATAGCGCCCTTTGATGATCTTCATAGAGTTACATCCTAGTATTGTCCGATTGAGTTGAAATTTTCCACAAAATCATTTTTTTGGCCCAAGGAAATGTTTTGAAATTATTGGAAATATGTGTAAATATATGAATTGCCAAATTCAAACCTATTTGGCGCTATATGTTTTTGGTAATTTTTGGTACCGGATATCAGATACAGTTCGGAAATATCTCTTTCAAATTGTATCAACATAGCTTCAAATTAGAAAGGAGCTCCCATACATATATTGTCCGATTGTAGGATAATTGTGCACAAAATGGTTAATATTAGACCAAATGAAGTGGATTTTGGCACATACGACTGAATTTAGCCTAGAAGCTAGATCTTCAAATTTGGTGAAAATGGGTTATGGGTTATTTTCCAAAGTATATTTGTTTGGGCCAAGGACGAACCCCATTGAAACAGGTGATAATCGGATTTTATTTAAATATAGCTCCCATATATCTTCAATCGATTTCGGGGTAATTGTGCACCAAATTGCCAATATCAGTCCAAATGACCGGAATTTTAGCACATCCGACCGAATTCAGTCTAGAAGCAAGCATGTCAAATTTAGTGAAAATCGGTTCAGATATTACTATAGCTCTCATACATATATATATATATATATATATATATATATATATATATATATATATATATATATGTATATATATATATATATATATATATATATATATGTATGATATATATATATATATATATATTTGAATGGAATGGAAGCATACATATATAAGGCCCTGATACATTTTTAAGCAATATTATTTCGATTCAGAACTTTAGTTTTCTCTTATTTTTAAATTTAACTGCTCTAAGATCGCTTCGTAGTTGGTATGATCCCACTTTACATAAGTTACCAACTGCAAACTTTTTTGTTTTGCTACGTGTAGCTCTACTAAATATGCATAGAGTTGAGGGGCATAATACAGTCGGCCCCA